CCCAATGACAGAAGGCAGGACAACAAGCCCTTTTCAAAGAGCGAAGTGAGGGAGGGCGGGACCTCGTGATGCCAATCCCGCGAAAGGCTAATGGGAAACCGGCTTTCATAGGGACGCCTGCGCTGACGCTGCCTGGCAGCCAATGGGCGACTCGCTTAGAGCGGCGGCTCGCTTTTTGAATTGGGGTCGGCGGCGGCCGCTCATGGTACCTGGGAGGGTGTGCCGGTTGCGGTTTTGACGGTGAGGAGCGGGCCGGGCCGGGCCGGGCGAGAGGAGAAGGAAGGGGGCTGGGTGGGCTACGGCGCGGCGGGGCCGGGCGAGGGCTTAGCCGGAAACCAGCCGACCCCCGGGCCGCGCAGTGCGCAGCCTGCTCCCGCCGGCCCCTGTCTCCCAGCGGGCTCGACGCTAGCCCTGGCGAGCGGGTTTTTATCGCTCGTTACCGTCCTGTCAAGCGAATAACTCCCAGGGGCCGTAAAGGGACGAGATCGGCTTCGCCCCTCGGCCTGAGCGCAGCCCCGGCTGGGCCTGCACCTGCCGGGAGATCTCCCTGCCAGGCGGGTGGCGTTACACAGCCCCCCTGAACAATATCTCCTCTGCCCCCCCGTGCTCCTTGAAAGCGCCCCGTGAGCGGGGAAACTGACCAGCGCCCTTGACAGTGCTGCCAAATACTCCACATCAGCAAAGGTGCTTCCCCCAAACAGCCTTCTAGTAACCTTAGGGGGGTCATTTGGGGGGGGGGGGGTGGGCGGAATGTGTGTGTATATCTTCTGCATGTTGGCAACTTTATTTTTCTTGTCACCTTAGCTATACACTCCTGTTCTCTTTTGCCCAGTATTTCAGGGCTGTTTCAAAACATAGAATGAGACTTTTTATTTTTGTATATAAATGACTGCAAAAAATATACAGAAAAGCGAGCTCTTTAAAATGGGGAAGCACAGTGTGTAGCTTTTATTAAGCGGACAAAGACCCTGCTACTTGCTTGTATTAGTACATTTTTGAATGTTTACACTTGTATGCATGTTACTAGGGCAAGGACTCCATGTAACCATTAATGGCAGGTTGCCACACCCCCCCCCCCGCCCCATTGTTTTAAATACTGCTTTAATAGACTTTTTTGTTCTGCATTTCTAACTCAAGGGCGTCACATCCTCCTCTTTATTTGTTACTTTGTTTAACTTGTGTAATTCTTGCCTACCATACTGTGGTATGTCTGGGGAACTTAATGTTTGTAAAATATTTAAGACCTTTGTGCAAGAATAGGGTCCTTCTGAACTGCTGGCTATTTACAAGAACTATAGTAAAGAGCAGAATTATCAGACACATAGGTAAAAGTGATTTGTTGGGGAAAAGTCAACAGGGCTTTTGTAAAGGGAAGTCAAGCCTCAGTCTATTTGTATTCTTTGTGGGTGTTCACAAGCATGTGGATAAGGGTGGTCCGTTCTTAAAGTGTATTTGGATTTTCAGAAAGCTTTTGACAGAGTCCCTCATCAAAGGTTTTAAGGACACTAAGTAGCTATGGGTTAACAGGGAAGGTCCTCTCATGGATCAGTAACTGTCTAAAAGATAGGAAACAAAGGGTAGGAATAAATGGTCAGATTTCACAATGAAGAGTGGCAAACAGTGAGGTTTTCCAGGGATCTGTACTGGGATCTGCGCTATTCAATATATTTGCTAATGATCTGGAAAAGGGAATGAACAGTAAATTGGTAAAGTTGCAGATAAGTAAATCCAAGGCTGAATCTGAAGAGTTGCAGGGGCATCTCTCAAAACTGGGTGACTGGACAACAAAATGGCAGATGACATTCAACACTGATACATTCAGAGTAATGCCTGTGGGAAAAAATAATCCCAGTGACCCATATATATAATGGTGGGGTCTAAATTACCTGTTACCATTCAAGAAAGAGATCTTGGAGTCATTGTGGATAGTTCTCTGAAAACTTTTGCTCAGTGCACAGTAGCTGTCAAAAAGGCTAAGAGAATGTTGGGCACTATTAAGAAAGGGATAGAAAATGAGACCAATATTATAATGCCACTATATAAATCGATGTTGCTCCCACACCTTGAATACTGTGTCCCGTTTTGGTCACCCCATCTCAAAATTGATATAATGGAAGTGGAAAAGGTTCAGAGAAGGGCAACAAAGTTGATCACAGGTATGGAATGGCTTCTATATGAGGAGAGATTAAAAGGGTAGGGGCGTCAATCTTGGAAAAAGTAACCGAGGGTCCTGTGGCACCTTTAAGACTAACAGAAGTATTGGGAGCATAAGCTTTCGTGGGTAAGAACCTCACTTCTTCAGATGCAAGAATCTTGGAAAAGAGATGACTGGGGGTGGGGATATGATAGGGCTATAAAATTGTGACAGGTGGGGGAAAACATGAGTAGAGAAGTGTTGTTTACTCTTTCCCACAATACAAAAACCAGGGGTCACCCAATGACATTAATAGGTAGCAGGTTTAATACAAAGAAAAGGAAATAATTTTTCAGACAATGCACAATTAACGTTTGGAACTCATTGCCATGGGATGTTGTGGTGACCAAAAGTATAATTGAGTTCAAAAAAGAACTAGATGAGCTAATGGAGGATAGGGCCATCAATAACTATTAACCAAGATGGTCAGAGATGCAACCTCATGCCCTAAACCTCTGACTGCCAGAAGCTGGGAGGGGAAGACCGGTTGATCGCTCCAACTGTCCTGTTCTGTACTTGTCTCCCTGAAGCTCTGTTACTGGCTGCTATCAGAGATGGGATACTGGGCTAGATCCATTGGTCTGACCCAGTATGGCAATTCTTATGTGCAGACAAGCCTTTAGGGTAAAGAACATACAGTGCCAGAGCAGTGCATCTGCACTGTGTTTAGTGAAGACATTCCTACACTGATGGGCGAATTCTCCCATCAGTGTAGTTAATCCACCTCCCCGAGAGGTCACAGGTATGTTGGTGAGAGAAGCTCCCCCATTGACTTAGCGCTGTCTACATGTGGAGTTAGGTCGGTATAAGTGCATTGCTCACGGGTGTGGCATTTTTCACTCCCTTGAGTGATGTAGTTATACAGACTATAGGTCTGTAGGGTAGACTAGGCCTATGTCAGTATATAATGCAAGATCAACCTTGTTGTCTGTAAAATAATGTTGGTCTTTGTTACTTAATTGATTAGGCATTGCATTCCCTGCCCATACGCCAAATTCCTGGAATTTCTGTGTCCTCTCCCATGCAGTGTTTTAACTTGTGACTTCAAAGACTACTATTTTAAAAGGGCATTGTATTTTACAAGTTTTGTTTGTGTTGTAAGCAAAAATATGTATCCCTTTGGAGCACAGTGAATTGTAGGGTTATCCATGAGTAACACTTTGCAGATGTCTTTCCTTAAAATAATAAAAGCATAGTACATTTGGGAGCATAAGGAGGAGAGAAGATCTGCAAAAAGATACTTAGCACTTTCTCCTTGATTTTATATAGTACCCGTACCATGGTATCTGAAACTTTTTTTTTTCATACTGTTTCACGTTCCCTCATACCACTGTTCGAATACTTTAAGTTGCATGACGGATCACAGGAATTGCATATTTCCAAACCCACTTACAAAAACATGGTTCTTCCTAGTCAGGAGTATCCTGGCCAACTGAATTAATGCTTCAGGTACGTGGACCTGGCTCTCTAGTCAATTCCTTAGTCTGGTGGGAGTGTGAAGGGACGTGAGACAGGGATAGCTCCTTTTCTGAAGTTCACAATTGTTCAAGCAGCTTCTCAGAAGATGGAGGAACATATTGTGCGGACAAAGAGTCAAAGGATCCCTTAGTGTGGGACAGTGAACTCTGTGAATGGGTACTAATGTTCAACAGTCTACTCTTACTGGTTCCACAGGATGAAAGTTTACTGTCTAGCACTGGGAAATTTATGTTGCTGCTTTGCCTGTTGGCATCCTGTAAATTCACTGATTCCACACCCCCATGTCAGATAACTGGAGAATTTTGTATTTAAATGCTGCACTGAGTACTTTATTAGTACTTTTTTATAATACTTTATAATTCTGTATGTAGATAATGCACTTGGTGCCTCCATGATTCTTTCCGGTGATGGCAAGGAACCCTTTCTCTCTGTCTGTGATAAGGACTGCATCAGTGAAATTGCCCAGCAAGACAGGCCTGAGGAACTCCAATAGTAAGCTAGACAAATCTGGTCAACGCTTGTGGGAAATCTGAAGTCTAGTGGGTTGGCCTGTATACCACAATCTTCTTTCTTCAAACTTTCACCTTTGGAAAATGTATGCAAAGCCATCTCTTTTTAGTGTGAACGTCTCTGAAATTAAATGCAAATAACGTGGTTAATCCAGCTTCCTGAACCTCTTTCAGACCATGTTTAACAAAATTCCTATCTGGAGTAAGCAAGCAATTTCTTGAGATCCTGGATCAAAATAAATACTTAAAGCTGACTTTTTTTTTAAGGGAACACTGGGCTTTTTACTCCCATATCCCTAGCTATCAAAATGCCCTGTCTTCATATAGTTTTCCTCAAAAATAAACTATTGTGAATTACTTGTAGAAACTATTTCTGTGATAGTTGTTTGTGTAAACTCTCTGACTCTTAAAATAGTTCTAGGCTCAGAGGATACTACGCATGTAAGTGGGATTTGTTAGTAGTTTTAATATTTAGAAGTCTAAAACTAACTTATCTACCTTTCCACAGGACTTTTTATGGAATTTTTTTAATATATACTGTTCAGGTTAAACTTATTTTGGGTACTTATTTTGCAGCTGCTGAAGAGAGAAACACGGACTTGATCATGACTGACAGCAGTATGCTAGTGACTGACACCGGAAGGAGTCTTTTGGGAGATTCTTCTGTTCTTGATTCAAAAATTATAGAAACTTCCAAGGAGAATATATTTATTGGATTGGCTTCAGATGTTGAAGGTAACAGGAAAAGCCTTTTTCAATACTGTCACATTTGTTTGAATATTGTTTCTTGGAAGATATATTTATTTTGTTTTTATTTTTAAATGGGAAGGTGTCAATAGCCTGAAGTCCTTTGTACAGCCACAAAGTGGGTACTGAACCAACAGTAGTGTTTCTGCCTTCTCCATAGCTGTTAGAAAGGGACAGAACTGTACAGGTGAAAGTAGTTGATTCTTCATGCTTGCTCATTGCACAAAGTACCAAGAATCAATCCAGTCATAGTGGTGGTTTTATGATGTGGACACTTTTTTACTAAGAATAGGCATTGATCACCAACTTGCTTCATAGGCCTGTGAAGAACCATGAGATGGGTGGCTTTTTGGTCTCTACTGATGTCTATAGATTTGAACTAGTAATCTACATCTGGAAAGATCTACATTGATTACTAATCTCCTGAATCATACAAACCAGTCTTACCCCCTGTCTTCCCCCCTCGCCCCCCTGTTATAGGTTTCACCCCCACTCTGAACTTTAGAGTACAGATATGGGGACCTGCATGTGAACCCCTAAGCTCAGTTACCAACTTAGATCTGGTCTTGCTGCCACCACTCCCAAGTTCTAACTCCTTTCCCTGGGTAGCCTTGAGAGACTTCTTCACCAATTTCCTGGTGAACACCGATCCAAACCCTTGGATCTTAACACAAGGAGAATTTAACCATCCCTCCTCCTTTTCCCCCACCAATTCCTGGTGAGTCCAGATCCAATCCCCTTGGATCTTAAAACAAGGAAAAATCAATCAGGTTCTTAAAAAGAAAGGTGAAAGACTAGCATACCAGCTACTCTCACAGACAACAGATTCAAAACACAGAGGATATTCCCCTGGGCAAAACTTAGTTACATAAAAGAATACCCAATTTGATTATTCACCTAATGCCAAGACAAGTTACAAAAAGAAAATAAATGAAATCTATTTATTCCTTTTCTAATACTCACTACTCTGATAAGAGCTGATTCCTTGATCTTTTCCACTCCGGCCAAAACTGAAGCTGACCCAGACAAAGGGAACTTCCCTCCTTCCTTTTGAAACATTTTGTCCCCCCATTAGTTCCTCTGGTCAGGTGTCAGCTAGGCTAGGTGAACTTCTTAACCCATAACTATCTGTTTATGACACCACCACCCCCAAGAGACTTTTTAGAAATTAAAGTATATTCTATTTCCCACAAAATAATGTAGTTTTCCTCTGTATTTGATTTTATCCTCTTTCTCTTGGTATTTCCAGCATGGATGTCTCTACCTGAATACTTCATTCACCCCAAACCTCTAATTTAGAGGATATCTGTAAAATTAAAAGCAGGGTAATTCTTCATTTTGGAAGCTAATGAGGCTCTTGCAATTCAGTCAAAAGATTGTTAGTGACTTGTGGTGATTGTCACTTGCAGTGGCTCTAAATGTACAGTATCCGTATTAATACCTCTTTTGATCTAGGTTCAAAGTAAATATTCCATCCCAGTCTCCCTTCCTTGTTTCGCATGACAAAATAACAGTTGATGGTTTCCATTCAATAGGCCATGACATAGACGTCAATGTTTGTGAAGAACACTAGCAGAGCTTTTTGGAAAAGCTTGGAGAACATGTATCCACAAAATGCCTGGTTAAATTCATGCCACTACTTTAACTTTTTGTGAATTCATCAAACTATAGTAAAAATTCTTACTACAGAGGCTGTTGACCTAAACTAGACAGTATAGGTGTGTGTTTTAAAAAAAACAAAAAACAAAAAACAATCCTTTTGTTAATTAGTCGAAGGAATGATGTATTTTTTTCCTTTGACTACAGGCCTGTCTGTTCAGTACCCATCTATTGCTAAAAAGTGTCAATCATAGAACCATAGAAATGTAGGACTAGAAAGGAGCTCAGTAGGTCATCTCATCCAGTCCCCTGCATTGAGACAGGACTAAGTATTATCTAGACTAGACCATCCCTGACAGGTGTTTGTCAATGGTCACCTTTGATGGGGAAAGGTTAAGTAAACTAGTGTTGCACATGCTATTAATTGTTCACAGGTGTGCATTTGTATGTCCGAAATTCGTTGGGTTATTTCTGTGGCCTGGCTGCAACTTTGTCTAGAGGCAAGAAGTAATAGGTTTAATCTGTAGCAAAGCAGATTTAGATAGGATTTTTATTTTTTGGTGTGTGGTAATATCTAAACTGTGGGGATGATAGTTAAGCACTAGAATAGGCGTCCAGGAGAGGTTGTGGAATCCCTGTCATTGGAGGGTTTTAAGAACAGGTTAGACAAACACTTGTCAGTGATGGTCTAGGTTTACTTAATCCTGCCTCAGCATGTGGGGCTGAACTAGATGACCTCTTGAGGTCCCTTCCAAACCTACATTTCTGTGACTGATGCACTGTGTAATCCATCATCTGCAAGCTTGGCTTAAAGAAGGTTGTTGTGGCAGCATCCAGTCTTCAGAGTTGAAGTATTCTTTGTAAATAATACTTTTTTGAGAGAGGACTATGGATCTTGGCAAGATACCAGTGTAATTAGCATGTTTCTCTACATTATGGCTTTGTTTAACATTAAGATTAGATTTTTCTATTGGATATGAATATTGCAACTTTTTCCCCTCCTGAACAGAGGAAATGCCTCAGATTGAAACCAGAGTGGTTTTAGTTCAGGAAGCTGGGAAACGCGAGGAACTCTTGAAAGCCTTGGAGGTATGTAGCTTGAACATAAAGCAGTCATCATAATGATATTGTTTTGACAAACTTCATGTAAGTAATGTAATCTCATACCAAAGTTCTCCTCTTCCACAGACCATTAAGATAATGGAAGTCCCAGTTATAAAGATAAAGGAAACTAGTCCTGGTAAATCAGAAGAAAAACTAATAAAAAGTATAATTCATATGGTATGTCAGGCATCTATGCGTATATGATTGCATGCAGCATGTTGCACTTCACTGGGACTGGAGTGCACAAACACTTAACCTTCATGATTTCTGATATTCGGGTGTGATGAAGGCACAATAAACAATGTTTCCTATGGTGTAGTTTGAAGCTAGTTGGGTGAGTAGAAACTTGTATTAAATTTGAAACCATGCAATTTGCTTAAATATCTGTTCTGAATCCCTGAACTAACATATTTGGTGTACTTAATGTGTTCCATACTTGCATATGGAACTCTCAGAGGATATATGTAATGCCAAATGCACAACTTAGACTTTTGTAAGTTTCTGCTATGAACTAGCTTCATAATCAGTTAAATGGCTTTCCTGATTCAACAGTGAAAGAGCTGCAATTTAAGATTGGTGCATGAACAGTTCTGTAAGGATTAAGTTGTTTTCTTAATGTGAAGGATTCTAGAAAATGGAGTTTGGACCTAAGGCCTCCAGATTCAGAGTAGTCTGTAATTAAACCTTCTGAAATATAAAGTCTAATTTCATGCAGCATGAAACATTTCTTTATGGAATCTCTCGGTCTGCAGTTACAACTTTAAATTGCTATTTTTATTGACAAATGCATTAGTCCAAAATACATAACTAAATTCAGATGCCCTGAAGGAAAAGATTAGTTTTCTGTTGTACAAGAACAATTGTATCCAATTGAGTTAATGTAATAAAATTATTATTTGGTCTTGTACTCTTCTTGTATTGTCAATGTGACCCCCAAAGACTGAGGAAATAACCTAAAGAGAGGTAAAACAATATTAAAACAAATACTTTGGACTCTTAAACAATTCCTTAAATTCGGAATCAGAAATCATTTTAGAAACCTAGATCATCACTAGTTCAGTGCTAGAAATACAAAAATCACCTCTTTGTAGATCTTTAAACAGGATATGTAACTTTTTGGAACACTGGTGAAAGCTGTAAAGTTGTCTTTGATACTAAATTTCTTAACACTTCAAGATAAAAATCATCTAAGAATGACATTCATTTACTACGTATGTAGCATGAATTGACACTTTAATTTTTTCACACAATATTAAAATAAAGGAAATTAAAGTGCCCTATATAAAGATGGAATCAGTGGAAGAGTTTGGGGATTCTGAGTCTCCAGAATTTGAGACAGTCTTCGTTGTAGCAGACTTTCAAGATTCCATCTTGGAGAACTTGTGCAAGTTTGACTGTCGTGTTCTTGGACCTCCAATAGTACTTCATTGTGCTCAAAAAGGAGAGGTAAGTATTCAGGTGAAAGCAAATGACCTATTCTTTTACTTTTATTTTTAGATGGACATTTACATGTGTTGTCAATAATACTAACACGAGGAGTGTGACTACATTCTTCCTGTGGTAGACATTTCATTTAAATTGCAATATAGCTCTCTTTATCATTTACATAGATGAAGATCTTGTATTGCAGGGGTTCTCAAACTGGGGGCCGGGACTCCACCCCAAACCCCACATCACCTCCAGCATTTATAATGGTGTTAAATATACAAAAATGTGTTTTTAATTTACAAGGGGGCGGGGGGGTCACACTCAGGGGCTTGCTATGTGAAAGGGGTCACCAGTACGGAAGTTTGAGAACCACTGTTGTATTGTGATGACACAGCTATTCTGACTCTCTAAATTCTTCTGAACTGGAGGAATTGCTGAAAGCTGTATCAGTCTCTCTCAGTACAGAATTCTGGTCATTCACATGTCAGTGTTTCACCACACACTTAAATGGCCTTTTTTTTTTATTTTTATTTTTATTTTTTTAAGTAAGCACCCCTGGCTCTAACTTGACTTGGGATTTGTTGTTGCTCAGCACTTCTGCAGTGTGAGTGGCCTACAACTGCCAAGCCAATGTGCAGAAGTAGCTCAAGCCTGTCAGTTATGTTCACAAATTACTTCTCTTCCCCACTGCATGGGATACACTTTCCAGCATTTCTCTGGGAAGATATTAGACCTGGTCTATACTTGGTTTGGTTAGTGGTGTGAAGTTTTTAATGAAAATAGTCACCCCAGTAAAAGTCCTGGTGTAGATGCAGTTAAGCTGGTATAAAAGTGCCTTATACCATATAGTTTATTCCTTTTCATGTACAGTAATAGGTATACTTACACTGGCATGAGAGATGCTTATAAGTGCATCCACACTAGAGGGATTGTACTGCTTTAACTATACCAGTACATTATTACTTGTAGCACCTAGGATGGTTAAAGCAGTATAACTTTCTAGTGTAGACAAGGCATTAATGTAATGTATAGTGTGGTGGTTTTTAAATATGTTGCTTCCTTTTCTTAACACTTTCAAGAGTCTTGGCGACAACACGAACCCCTCCCTCTTATACTGCTATTTGCAGGTTATTCTGAGAAAGGGAAAGCTACTAGGAATTAAAGTCCTGAGGAGTCCAGTTGAATTAACTCTTTTTATATATTTAAAAAAAGTTATTGAAACTGCTCGTAGTGATGCCTATGTTAAGTACCATTTGAACCACCCAAGAATGGGTATCCGGCATAGATGGAAAGCATTTTATAATTGTGTTCTAATCACCTCTAAACATCTGATGTTGACAAAAGAATATTCAAAGTAGAATTTTTGACAGACAGGAGAAGTGCACAAATAATACTTTGTACCAGGAAGAGGTTTAAGGAAATACAGATGCTAATTACTAACACTTACTTGAAATTAATAAATTATCTGAAGTGCTCCTCTGCATTGGAATACTGCAGTGAGTGAGTAAAGACCGCTTTAGTGCCAGGGACTTCTGTTCAGCGTGGTTGCTATATGGTGCAGAAGAAGATACTAACTGCTGGGGAGGTAATACTCTGTTGCAGGACAATAGTGTATAATATGATCTTATAGGAAACATAAGGACACCTATGATAAAGTTACAGTTGTAACTAGTTTACAGCACTGTTTCAGCAGAGGATACAGACGTATTTCAATCATTTCACCAAAATGCTGGCAGGTCTTATTTCAAGACATACCAGAAAACAATGAGCCTTGTTAATTGGTATCCAGTCAGTATCCGTGCATTTTAACAAAGTTAAAATCCTGTAGAGCTACTGTTTAAGTTTTTTAACTTTTTTTTAATAGCTTGTGGTTCTGACTTCTGTAATAAATCATTATCTGATTTCAGCCTCTACCTTTCTCATGTCGTCCGTTGTACTGTGCAAGTATGTTGAATCTGGTGCTGTGCTTTACAGGATTCAGGAAGAAAGAAGAACTAGTAAGATTATTTTGTCTTGCACCCTTGTCCCCTCCCCTTTCTTGGACTGATTAATCTACATGTAACTATGTTCAAGGTAGTTTTCTGTTACATCACCCCTAATGTACAATGTAGTCACTAACAGTGACTAAAGCTTATATTCTTGAGTACAGATTTAGGATTCTAGGGTCTACTTAAGACTCTCTCCTGCTCCTGTTGAAGACTGTGGGACTCTGACTTGCATGGGAGAGGGATTGAACCCTTAGGCAGCATTGAGTTGATCACCTAAGAATTTGACCTGGCACTTGTGTTGGAGCATGTACATGCTCCTGAGTGCACTCAAGTAAAACTTGGATATCCTGTTCAGAGCATTTGGAGTGTCACTACCATGTACAGTAATCTTGTCAGAACTACAGCTAAGCAGCATCGTTCCTGATCAGTAGTCAAATGGGAAACTTTGATATTTACAAGAAGCAACTGATAATTCACTTGGTGTCTTGCTATCATATAAGCCACTACTGAATCAGTGTTCTGGCATGGTATCAAGGCAAACTGTACTGCTGGAGATGCTGGCAACTGCAGAAAAGCGCAGAGCCAAGACCATCTTCCAACAGCTAGGAGTTAACTCTGATGTCCTGCCAGACTCAAATTGAGCAGTCCATTAATTTGTTCTAAACTCCTAGGGGTTTCCCCCTAGCCAAGTATGTTAGCCTTCATTTCTGTGTTTTAATAGCCCAGAATCCAAAGATGGAAGTGGCAGCATGACAATGGGCTGTGATATTTTGGGAGTCATCTTGTTTGGTGGCTTTATGGGCTGCTAGGTAAATTTTGACTTTGATGGGGGTGAGATAATTGTGAAGCATTGTGAACTGCTAACTGTATAGCTGTGAAAACAGCAATGGTGGCTTGGATGTTTTCCTTAAAAATACATTTGATATATGTTAAATACTTCGAAGGCAGGTAACATTTATGGCTTGCCAACCATGTCTCATTTTAAAAATGACTCCACTAGTACAGGTTAAATGAACATGTAAAAGCTTTGCTTTAAGTTTAGTTCCGCTGTAACTTGTATGGTATATAACTCTCTTGCCTTTGTCCCTTCTTTAACAGCTGTAAGTTTCAAAAAGTGTATGATTCTCTTACTTCCTGACTCTTGCTCTTCAGGTTAAGCTGGTGACCTTGGTTCATCATATGGGTGGAATTATTCGAAGGGACTTCAGTTCAAAAGTTACACATCTGGTGGCTAATTCTACGCAAGGAGACAAATTCAGAGTACGTGAACTTGAATTTGCACTTCAAGCACTTCAAAAAGTCTCTCAGTGTAGATTGACCCCCTTCAAATCGGACCTTCTAGTTTAACTTGAAGCAGATGCACTTTTGTAATGAAGAAAATGGGTTAAGTACAAAGGATTAAAGATTTCAGCATATCTTTACCTCTGTGATGTCAAGCTTTTAAAAACAATGGGTGGTAATTGTTTAGCTGTTGGAATCAAGAACCAGCCTGTTTTTAAAAAAAAACAAACAAACAAAAAACACCTTTTGTCTAAAGGCTTTTGTTACAGACCAATACGACCTCTGAAAATAAGCATTTTGTCTCTTATGAAGTACTTAACATTAAGTTAACTGAGACCACTGCAGTTGGGGTTTCAGAGCACTTGTTATGCTTTGATTGTAGTGTAGGCATACCCATAGAAGGCCAGTGGCACAGCTGCAGCTGGCTGTGGTCAGCTGACCTGGGCGGCAGGGCTAAAAATTGCAGCGTAGAGGTTCGGGTTGAGATCCACCCCCTTTGTAGGATTGTGTCACAGAGCCTCGTCTCTAGTCCAAGCCTGAATGTCTACACTGTTATTTCGATGATGCACTTGTGGGGGGAAAAGGCCAGTATTATGGGTGTATTAGCTGTAGTGTTGTTTGAAGACCTGGGAGGTAAATTGTTCTGCTTTACTTGGCACTGGTGACGCCTCAGCTGGAGTACTGTGTCCAGTTTTGCTGCCACACTTTAAGAAAGATGTGGATGTGTGTGTGCGTGAGACAGACACCGTCCAGAGGAGAGCAACAACAGTGAGCAAAAATTTAGGAAACGTGACCTCTGAAGAAAGACTTAAAAAATCGGGGGGGGGGCTTGACAAGTGGTGAGGGACCCTCATAAGTCTCCAAATATGTTAAGGACTGCTCCAAAAAGGATGGTCATCAATTGTTCTCCAGGTCTGACAGTAGGACAAGAAATAATATCTTGCTTTACATCAAGGGAGGCTTTGGCTAAATATTAGGGAACACTGTCAAACTGTAAGGATAGTTAAGGGCTGCAATAGGTTACCTAGGGAAGCTGTGGAATCCCTGTCACTGGGGGTTTTGTAAGAACAGTTTAGACAAACATCTATCAGGGATGGTCTGCCTCAGTGTGCGTGGATGGACTAGATGACCGCTCAAGGTCCCTCCAGCCCTACATTTCTGTGATTCTGTTTCTGAGAGGAGTAACTTCATCCTTTTTACAATACCTATTTTCCAAATCAGATTCCTGGCAACATTTCTTTCTCCAGGTTTGGAAAGAACTTAAATGGAGAGGTCACTTGTCATAGCTAATGACTTCCTTTTCCTTCTAGCTTGCTGTGAGTCTGGGAACTCCTATTGTGAAAGCTGAGTGGATTTACAAGGCTTGGGAGAGACGGAATGAAATGTAAGTGTTCCCCCCCCACCCCACCCTCCAAAAAACACCTCCCCACTCAATTTAGACTTTTTTCCCCATGATACTAAAGTAAGCTTCTATATAGTAAAGAGTAACTGTAAATATACAACTTGTTTTAATGAATATTTATTTTTAAGTGACTTCTGTGCGGCTGATGAGGAATTCCGAAATGAGTTCAAGGTTCCCCCATTCCAGGACTGCATGTTAAGTTTCCTTGGATTTTCCGATGATGAGAGAATTAACATGGAAGAAATGACAAAAATGCAAGGTTATTGTTAATGATTGCATTTGCAATGGAATTTATAGGCAATGCATTTTTATCTTAAATCTGTCTAAAACTAAAATGCTGATTCTTTGCACACAGGGAGGTTTGAACAGGTCTTCCATTTAAAAAGCTACATTTAACTTTAGATCTCATGGGGCATAAAGCATGTAGCAAAACCAAACTTTTCATACCAAAGTAAGGTATTTTTTTTTCTTCTGCCATGCTGTGATGTCAAAACTGTGGCTTTTACTACAATTCCCCCCCACACACCACCCCCCCTTTCCCTCCTCCACATCTAATGGTCAAGATTTAACTTTTTGGGAAGTTGGTTAGAAAAATGTGCCATGTGTATGCTTAGCTTCTTCTGATTCAAAGTTACATTACGCAAATATTTGTTCAAGTGTTACTTGAAGCATGTAGTACTCAAATTTTATTATAATGGATTTGCAAGAAAATAAATTACTTGTATAGAACTTATGGCCAAATATTTGTTTCCCTTCAATAGTATAATACAATGTAATGAGAATACTTGGCTGACTCAGTTGGTTTAAGGTCTGTTCTTACAGTGCTATGTATATATAGCATCTTGTGCCTAAAGTTTGTTTCATATTCTATAGAACTGCACTAGCTATTATCATGCAAACATTGTATAAGTAACTGAGCCTTTATCAAGACAGAGGCAAGGAGTCTCCCTCTTTCAATGTCCTTGTAGCCCATATGGTACAGCTAGCTTTACAATGTACACAACTTCCAATTTGTGATGGCTGTGTCTAGGCAAGCTATTTCTGGCTTGCTCTTTTGGAGCAATGTCTTTATGGGAGTCTCATTCTCAGACCTTCTCAAAGATGTTCTCCAAACTATTTTTAAAAAATAATCCCTGGTGGCCCTGAGCTCCAGGGGAGTAGGAGTTCTCTATCCTAGTTTTTTTTTTAAATAAACTGTCACCGTAACACAATTTGTGAACTCTAGAAGGGCTAGATTCACACTACATAAATAGTACACCTTAGCTTATCGAAGCTGTCCCTTGAAGTTGTACTGCCATAGAATGTCTGCTGGTACTATCTTTGTGCTGGGAGTGCCCAGGATGCAGCTGTCTCAACTTGCTGACCAACTCCCCCTTCATCTTGCATCTTCTCCCCTTCTTTATTACTCTACCCCAACTTTGATACTACTATGAAATCCTCTCTTACCAAAACTCGAGATTCCTAGTTCTTCAGTTAATTTGATTTATTTTCTTACTCTAGGTGGGCAGTACTTGCCAGTTAGTGATGACAGGTGCACACATCTGGTTGTTGAAGAAAATACAGTAAAAGATCTCCCATTTGAGCCTCCAAAAAAACTTTATGTTGTAAAGCAAGAGGTTAGTGTACACAGAAATTCTTACTACTGGACTTTGAGGATTTTTTCAGACATGTAAATGATATTGAATATCATAGGTCAAAAGCTTGTATCAAGTTTTTGAAACTAGTTATAGAAGACTCTTTCTTTTCCCCATATAGTGGTTCTGGGGAAGCATTCAGATGGATGCCAGAGCTGGAGAATCCATGTACTTATTTGAAAAGGTATGTTGACCTTTAGTAATAGTGTAATATGTTGACTCTAACATATTCGAGCCCACATCCTGCAAATACTTAACTTGATTAATGTGAATTGTCCTCTGAAACTGATGGGATTACTCACAGTAATAAAGTTAAGCATATGTGTAAGTATTTGCAGGATTAGGGCTTAATTTGGATGCTGATGACTCATGATAGTATATTTCTAAAATTCCTAAATTGTCTTGAAGTATTCAGACTAAAACTTAAACATGTAATTTACTTGGACTTTGCTTAGTGGTCACTTCATGGTGATCTCGCAGTTATGCTTTACAGTTTTTTTTAAAGCTGGAAAAACAAATACATATTGGCCTTTTTCAATAAAAATCCTGTTCAATAACCTAAGGGACTGTAGTGTCTTAAACTATTAACATGTTTGCTGTATAAAACTTTCAATTATTTTGTTTGACCATACAACAAAATGGGGGCAACTGTCTTGTGTAATCTTTCTTTTCTGTAGTCTATACAGAATCAAGTTGGAGGCAGTGACTGAATTTTCATATCTAATTACAGCCAGAGAGTCCTGAACTCAAAAAGTCAGTGTCACAACTTTCTCTGAATACCCCAAATAGCAATCGCAAGAGACGTCGCTTGAGAGAGACCCTTGCACAGCTCACCAGAGAAACTGATATGTCACCATTCCCTCCTCGGAAACGCCCATCAGCTGAGCATTCCCTTTCTATGGGGTCTTTACTGGATATTTCTAACACACCAGAGTCCAGCATTACCAATGGAGGTATAGTTGAAAGAAAGGATTAACCAAGCTTACCAGTGCTTAAAGCAGTGTTCTTTCTTTGCAAATTACAGAAGTAGAAAAAAAATTTAGCTATGCTACAGTTCTGACAAGTTAACTACAGGCTTTCTCCCTCTCAAATTATGCAGGGAGCAGAATAGGAGTGAGGTGCTCAGACCCAGGTAGAGGCCAGGCCAGCTGCTGTCATGTCAGTAGAAGTAGTCAAACATGGAGGAAAATGAGGAAAAAATACACACTTACCAAATATAAGCCTCCAGATAATGTTACTCCAAAGCAGTGTGTGAATCCTGTCGAAAGTCTCCAGCAAACAAACAAGGTAGCTAGCATTAAGTCATCTGGAAACCTAGGCAATAGCAAACCTGGAAAAGGGACAGTATCAAATCTCCAAAAAAAGATCCTTTTTCCAAAGGAAAGCAAAGAGATCACTGTAAGGCCGACTTATCTTGAAGCCTTGAAAGATACTTTTGCCTCATGTCAACGTCTTGTAGGGACAAATAACATATCAAACATGCCACAAGATTGTGAAGAACCAACTTGCTTAACTAATGTTGACCAATTAACTAACACCGAAACTAATATCTCTACATATGGTTCTTGTGGCAAAGAGCAAATTGCAAAATCCACAATTAGTCAACTCCTAGAACTTGGACTCCAAAATAAATCCCAATTCCAACGTACAAGAGCGAGATCTGGAAATGCTACAGATGTAAATATGAATGACCTGACTTGTATGAACACCTGTGATTATGTCCAGCAAGTAACCTATGGGCATAGTCATCAGGGAAAGGACAGTAAGGACCAGTATAGCTTTATAAATGAAACATCTTTGATAGAGGAGACTAATATTTTAGTAGGAGACTCTGAACCTTCTTCTGATTCAAAATCAAAAGCCCGTTACAGTGATACCAGTGCTGCTCTGATAACAGGTAAGAGTACTTGCTGCAGGCACAGTAATGTTGAAGTTGATCAGTACAAATTCAGAAAAATCAGGCATAAACTTCCCTTCTAAGCAGTGTTGATTATTAAATGTACATAATCTACTTGGGATGTGACCATGTTGGCCTTCAGAATGTACGGAATACCCCAAATCAATCTGAGTCTGTATTCAGAACACCACTAGCTCCCCAGGATTCTCTCCTATAGGATAGAGGTTTTCAGGCTTTGCATAATGTGGACCGTATCTTTAGTCTAATACACCACTTACCTTTTAATTGGCAGTTGCTTATCTCATGACAAATGCTTACACGGAAAAGTAACAATGAAGAAGATACTTGCACTTTTTTTTTTTTTAAATAGCATTCAGCAGGTAGAAAGAGAAGTACCTTCATCTGAACCACTAGAGTGGTGCACCATTTTGAGAACTAATCCTATAGGCTATAAAATTGTAAGTTTTTTTAAAAACTGATCACCATATTTTCCGTAGCTTTATGGATATTATCCATAGTGTAATGTCACTGTCCTAGGGCACTTGACAGTCATAGTAGGAGTTTGAGTTTGGGCTAAGGCAGAGATCGGCAACCTTTGGCACGCGGCCTGTCAGGGTAAGCCCCCTGGCGGGTTGGGCTGGTTTGTTTACCTGCCGCGTCCGCAGGTTCGGCCGATCGCGGCTCCCACTGGCCGCGGTTTGCCGTTCCAGGCCAATGGGGGCTGTGGGAAGCGACGGCCAGCACATCCCTTGGCCAGCACTGCTTCCCGCAGCTCCCGTTGGCCTGGAGCCGCAAACCGCGGCCAGTGGGAGCCGCGATCGGCCGAACCTGCGGACGCGGCAGGTAAACAAACCGGCCCAACCCGCCAGGGGGCTTAACCTGGCAAGCCGCGTGCCAAAGGTTGCCAATCTCTGGGCTAAGACTATATCTACGGTACACACCTTACAGCGGCACAGCTGTACTGCTGCAGTTGCGCCACTGTAAGATCTCCTGCCGGCATAATTAAACCACCCCTAACTAGCGGCAGAGGCTATATTGGTAGGAGAGCGTCTCCCACCTACATAGCGCTGTCCATACCAGCACTTTTTTGTTGGTGAAACTTATGTCGGTCAAGGGTGGGGTTTTTTCCCCCCCACACTTCTGACTGGCAAAAGTTTTACCAACAAATGTGCTAGTGGAGACAAAGCCAAAAGCCGTCTCCTGCTAATGGAACAAATGTTCTCCTTGCATCAAAAAAGATAATATAACCTTTCTACCCCTTTTTGATATTAAAGGGGGTACCTTTAACAAAAGCAGCTGGTATCTTTCTGATAATCTTAAGAATCCGTCCAGAAGATTTTAGCACAATTCTAAATAGTCTCTTTCCCTTTCATCAGAAACGCCAAAATCATGTTCAAAGCCTTCCAAAAATTCAACTCCTCTGCCTGCAAAGCAGTCTGCAAGATGGCAGGTTGCAAAGGAACTATATCAGACAGAAAGTAACTATGTAGATATTCTGACAACAATTATTCAGGTAAGTTAGTAGATTTGTTACTGTATCTAGGTGAGTCACTGTTTAATTTTCAGTCCCATCACTGATTTGCAGTTTGATACAGCCTCCTCTTTAGAGGATCTCAAAACACTTAGTATTTATTAAACTCTCCATTTCTTGACTTAATTCAAAAACCTACTCTAGTGAAGAGCTGGGGAGAGAAGTATAAGACTCCAGAAAAAAGAAAAGCATGACTTTTAAAAGAGAACCTACACAAAGCCAGACGTGACTAAAATATTGAATGCCATAGAATTAATTTCCTTGAAGTGGCTGATCATACACTTAAGAATGAGCTCAAATATGATTATTCAATTAGACATGTTACTGTAGCACAAGCCTTTACCCTACTTTTCTAATGTGGTGGTTACAGAATTGAATGGCCTTGGTAATGGATGAATTTAATGCTTGTACCTTCATACCCAGTACTTAACATGTGGCATAATACACTCCAGTGAAGTGTGGGAATAAGGAGTTCCTCTTGTCAAGTTTGTGGTTATAGAAAACATGACCAGGAAACAAAACATTTCAAATCTTTCCTTCACACCAATATTTCAAGTTTAATAGAGTGGTTAGTGTGTGTGTGTGTGTACATTCCATCAAAGATGGAAGCTGAATCCATTAAATGTCTTTGTTTACTCTTTCAGTTATTTCAAGTTCCATTGGAAAAAGAAGGGCAGCTTGGAGGACCTATCCTTGCACCGGAGGAAATTAAGACCATATTTGGCAGCATTCCAGACATCCTTGATGTGCACACTAAAATAAAGGCTAGTTTTGTCATGCTTATCCCTTATTTTTTCCTCCAGGCCATCACTTATTTTCCAACTTGAGTTACTATCTATTGTGTGCACCTTAACAATAGACATCTGTTGCCCTCAATTGGAGGGGGTATTCTTAACTTGCTTGTGTTGCATAATGCTGTCTGGTTCAGAATGACTGGCTGCCACATTTTGTCTTGAGTTGGCTCTATTTCAGGACTGTGAATGATGTGCAAGTCTAAAATATCTTAGGATCCTGAAGGATCAAAGGACCTGTACATATAAGGAGGTGGGACTTGTAGATTGAATGTAGAAGACTTCAGACCATTCTACAGTAGATATTGTAGAAACTCTTCACTCAGTTCACTCCACTCCACAGGCTAGCTTGTTCCATTTCCATCTTAATAGCTGCTTCCACAGAGGGAGCTCTGCAGCTGTGGATTTTTTTTGTTTTGTTTTTGTTTTTTAGACTTTGACAGACTATTTTTGAGGATGTGGGCCCAAGTCAAACAGGCTAACTTTCCAAAGTGGTGAGCACCCAGCAATTCCCATTGGAGTAAAGAGCCAAGACACTGAAAAATAACTAGAGGGGTGTGTGTGTGGGTGTGGGGGGGTGTGGCGTGGCTTTTTATTTTTAAAAAGGTTTCTTAGGTTTTTGGTGTCCAACAGTAGATTCTTTAAAGGGACCTGACTGTTCAGGGTGGTGAGCATTCATCACTTTGTGACTATCAATCCCCTTTAAAAGGTACCTTGAGTTGGCCCACACAATCAGTTGTTTTGAAAATCTTGGTGTAAACTTCTATCTCTAAAGACTTTAGCCTGGAACTGAGGCATGAGCTGTGGTTTGGGGTGAAATATAGTCTGCATCACTCAGTCTCTACTCTTAGTTTGGACACTTGATATGCAGGTTGCTGTCTAAATTAGACTATAAGCTATTTGCTGCAATATGGCATATCAAGGAGCCATAACATTGAATTTCCTGATGAAACGAGGTACAAATTTCAATCAAATGAAGAAAGTTTTGCTCTTATAGTTTTAGAAAAAACTTAGTATGCAATTGCAAGATGCTATTTTTTTGGTTGCTTTGGATTTTCGGTCCTGATTCATGTTTGAATAGTCTAGAATAGAGGATTTCAGACTGCTTGCTTCCTTCTCAAATTAATCTTTAATAATCTTAGAAATGATACTGTATTTGGGGCATAGTTATCAATACATTAACTGGGTAGCCCACAACATACACCTGCAAGTAGATGGTACTCAACTTAAGGTGGAGGAGGTGAAGGACACTTGCCTCTTCCCTCTGTTTTCTTAGTCATGGTGAAAAGAGCAGCACAGGAACAAGACACTCAAGTGACTTGCCCATGGCATAGGCTGGAAGTGCAAAGGCCTAGGATCAAACAAACCTAGCTGCCACATGGAGCACTGTAGAAACAGCACTGCTTGAAGTGTGTGTATGGTCCTTTTCACTGCTCAGGATGCACCTGAGTGCTAACACACACCTAGCTCTGACATCAGCCAGTGAATATAAACCTGGGTAGTGCGTGACCTGCTAGAACTGAAGTTGGCAACCTGGGCAAGGTTTCTGTGGTGCTCTGGTGCAGTTGATAGCTTTTTGTTTTAAACTTAAAAAAAAAAGTTTTAATGGAATAACTATGAAAGTAAATAGAATCACTATTATGGCCTTGCTATTTTGAGATTAATTCAGTTTGTGTCCTCTGCATATTCCTACTTGTGGGATGCACTGGTGTGGGTGCAATTCAAATGGTGGAACCTTCTCAACAGTGCCTGATAGACTGCTCATGTGTTTGTCCTATGCTTCCCCTCTGTGTTCCTGAGCATGAGACTATGAAAGGGGATATGGCATCCTCTTCCACCTCGGTTCCCTCCAACTGCAGCAGCAAATGTATGTGAACCATCAGGATCCATTGAACCTGGATCTTTCTCTTGAGAAGAACTTAGTGGTTTATCTAGCTGTAGCTGTAGCTTTAGCTTTACTGTTAGTGTTAGTTGTGGTAATTTAAGTTTAATTAGTTAAGGAACAGTTTTTATTCAGTAGTAAAGTCTAGATTCTTCTTTGAGTTGATGCAGACATGTATTGCACTTAAGTGCGTGTGCACTGCTGCTAGAGAATTTTGCAGAGCAGTACCTGTAGAGGGACGGCGCTTGCACCTCATGGCTGTAGCCCCTCCCCTATCTATTTGAGGCAGCGCCACCCTGACCCTCCCTCAGTTCCTTCTTGCACCTGTGGCTGGAGTTGGAGCTGGTGTGGTTTAATAACACATTTCTCTCAGCAGCATTACTATCCGTTGCATGCTTTTGTTCAGCCTTTCCCTCCTTTGAGGCAGTGGGACTATCCCAGAATGGGTAAAGGGACCAATAGGAGAGCAGTCTGGCTCAGGGTTAGGTCAATCTACACAAAACCAAGGCCATACTTTGCAGCCTGAGCTCAGCTCCCCACATCTTGGGGCATGGCTGCTGCAGGGCTGAATGAAGAGGAATAGTGGTGTTCGGACGACTGTCCAACAAGTCGTCCTCAACTGTAGAAAGCCCTCCATGAAGGTGGCTTATTCAGCAGTGTAAAAAGGTCTTTGGTGTGGTCATTACCCACAGAGTCCAACCAATACTAGCTTCTAGCCAGGGCTTTTTGGAGTACCTGCTGCACCTTCGGTAATTGGGGCTGGTGATGACCTCATTGAAAGTACATCTGGCCAAGATATCAGCATTTCATCCGCCCTATTCAGAGATGATCAGTCATATCCAAAGCTGTTGTAGCAAGATTTGTGAAAGGGCTCCTTTTGTCTGCATCCTTCAGTTCAAGAGCCTTTCCCAATGTGGAACCTTAATGTAGTCCAGCCTTAATGGGACCTCCCTTTGAGCCCCTGACATCCTGTCCATTCCTGATCCGGTGTCCAAAAACTTTGGTAGTTTTACATCTGCAAGGAGAATGAGTTGCAGGCTTTGATAGCACAGCCTCCTTGTATAAAATTCTCCAAGGATAAAGTGACTTTATGATCACTCCCAAAATTCTTGTTTAAAGTGGCTTCTCAGTTCCACTTGAACCAGGTGGTATATTTACCTGGGTCCAAAGCTGCATTCCTTTCCAGAGGCACAGTCTTCGTACATTAGACATCCGGCAATGCTTAGCCTTCTACCTGGACAGGAGCAAACTGTTATGTACTTTGCCTCATTTATTTCGTATGCAGATCACATGAAGGGTCAAGCAGTCTCTTACCAGATGATCTCCAAGGGGATAATATTCTGCATTAAGACTGTATATGAAGTAACTTCAGCTGCACCCCCTCAGTGGGATATGAGCTCTTGCTATCGACGTTGCTTGCGCTCTTGTAGAATTTCTCATTTCCAGGGCTGCTATGCAGTCGTCTCTTCCTATGTTCACAAGCCATTATGCCATAATCGCATCTTCCAGGGTGGATGTGGATGCTGATGGAGCGTCCTGCAGTCTTTGTTTAGGTAGACTCCAAACCCTGCCTCCTAGGGGGTACTGCTTATGAATCTGCTAAGTGGAATACATGGCTGCATTGAGGCGAAGAAGAAACTGTTCCTTACTGTAACTGGGTTCTTCAAGATGTGATGCAGATGTGTATTCCATTACTCACCCTTTGTCCCCTCTGCAACAAAGTCTCATCTCCAGGCATAGGTGTGAAAGAACTGAGGGAAAGTTGGGGCGGCACTGCCTCATGCAGTCCAGGGAGGGGCTACCACTCTCCCTCTATGGGTACTACTAAGCAAAATTCTCCACCCCAGTGTGCTGGGCACACGCACGCATAAGTGGAATACACATCTGCATCACCTCTCGAAGAACCACAGTTACAGTAAGTAACTTTCTTCAGTGGTGGATCAAGAAGTTGAGACCTGGCTTCAAAAGGTGCATCTCTCATCCAACAGTCTTTCCTTTGTTGGACGTCCACATAACATGCTTGGTGTGCCTCAGAGCACCCTTAAAGGAAAGTGGACTCGCTGAATCTGCAGCACTCTTACCCCAAGGGCACACGAGGAGTGTGAAAACAGGCTGAAAGCCATATTTGTTTCAAGAAATCCTGGGTGCAAAGCTACCCAGATCTAACACATCTGAAGGATCCATATCCAAGGTGAATAGGGCATTGATGGCCCAGACACTTCAGGGACTAGAAAGAACACTAGGCAGAAGACTCCAATCTCTGCCATAGGACTTCTGTTAGTTGGTTCCCAAATCATTGGATCTGACTTGGTCAGTCTTCTCTTCTGAAATAAGAGCCAAAGCATGAGGAAAAAAATCTCAGATGATCTTGTGTTCAAGAGACTGAGAGATAAGGTTCCTGTTAGTAGGGCCAAATTGCATGCAGGAAACCCTTTGGCTTTGGATCAGAGAATCCTAAATCAGCCTAAGATTCTAGTTCAGAGATCTTAGGCGGGGATTTTACCCTGAAGATCAGTGATATGAAGATCATTGCAGAGCCAGCAGTCAGGGCCAAGTCAGCCGTTGGGTCAGCAAGAGGCAAGAATTCTTCTTTCCCCTAAGGAGTTACAAATAAAACCTACTGTTAGTTTTTTTATCCTCAGATCTCCCACCAGGGAGAATTATGTTGGACTGATTTGTCCATAGATGTTTTGTGACAGAAGTGAAGCACCTTTTGGACTCTCCCATTAAAGTTGTTTCTCACTTCTCCATTTTGCATATGTCAGGTCCAGTAGCTTCTCCATTTGTCATATCCACTGTCTGAGGAAGAATTGCAATGTGTTAGACGTACTGTGACAGAATGCACACCTGTATTCACACCCTACACACCACAGTAGTGATCTTTGTACAAGGTATGCATTGTGAGGTATCATTTGAAAACTCATAACTTGCTTATCAGTAATATCATGGTAAAATGTGTGTGGCAGCATTATAAGTAAAGTTATAAACGTCCACCTGTATAATGTTAAAAGTAGATGTTCAGACGCATCTGGCACCAAACTGGTCATACGCTTCTTTGTCCAATACAGGTCTGTATGCTTCTCTTAATATGTATTTAAGCAATAGTGTCACTAAGCAGAAATGGGGAAGGGGAGTGTGACCAGGATCTCCTGTGCAGGCCAGCTGAGGTCACTCAATTAGGGTGAACTGCAAAGAATGGGGCAGATAATCCCCAAAGCTGGTGGATATTTTCAATACTTAGATTTACCAAGCCAGCATAAAACAGCTTCTTTATTACCTCACTGGTTGCCCAGAAGCCAACAACATAGCTCCCTTGAAGTAACTCAGCCTCAGACCTCCATCCTGGTATCCAAGTCAAATATGATGCATATTTCTGAAAATCTTATTTTATCATATTAAAAAAGTTCTACCAATTCCAAAGGATTGGACATTTTACCTCCCAGGTTATTGAATATTCCAGATCTTACCCAAATACAAACTTGTAGCCAATTTTTATTAACTAAACTAAAATTTATTAAAGAGCAAGAATATGGCTAAAAGATCAATATGCATACAGACACGAGTTCAATTTTTGAGGTTCAGATACATAGCTGACATGGTGAGCTTTGTAGATGCAAAGTGTCCTTCGGTTATAGTCCAATGTTTGTATTTCAGAGCGATCCGGTCAGAACTGGGGACTCAGACCTTGTGGCTTAGACTTCCCCTGCATGAAACCTAAAGCAGATCTGAGATGATAAACTATAAAACTGTTGGGTCTTGAGTCTAACAGCTATCTGACCACGCAGTCCTGGGTAAACAATAGGCTTTTGATGTAACCTTCTGCTTTCTAAACACCACCAGTAATCAATTACACAAATTAACGTAGGGCAGTTTATTCATTAGGCAGTCTATCACAAACTTCAGAGACATATAGACAATGACATTACTTCATCCAAGATTCATTTAAATGTAATATTCTCTTTTGATCTCTGTATTAATAGTTTATAGTGACAGACAGGAGCTGGCTGTTTACATGGCTAACTTTTATGAGTACACACAATTAGTATCACTTCTAATAATATAGGTTTGCATTTCAAAGTTCTAGCCCATCTACCATGAATGGCCCTAATTACCATTCAGACCCCTTTCTAACGACTTTAAAGGTGGGCTCTGGGTCATTCAACCTGTAAGGTGCTTAACCCTTTCTGGCCATGAGTTATATTTTTGTATATGTTTTGCTGTAATTATATAGCAGTGGTAGCAAAATGGCTTGCATAATTAAAATATAATTAGACAACGTCACAGGAAGGAAAACAAAGGAAGCTCAGACAGGTGAGAGAACCCAGCAGGGAACATCCTTCCACACAGGTTTGTGTCTTCTGGTTCTCAGCTGGAAATGCTTTTCAAAGGGGGACTGAAACTATAAAAAGGAGGGCAAACACCCCACGAGACTTCTCTCTCTCCTGCCCCTTTCACTCTTTGCACTTGAGAAGACATAAGGAGCAGCTGTTGGACTCTGGGGGAGGGGCCCTGACCTAGAGGTTGGTCAGTAATCCTGCTGGAAGCATACGGTGAGAAACTTTGCTTGAATCTAATATAGTTTAAGTTGGGCATTAGAAAGCATTTTCTTTATTTTTCTTGTAAACTTATCTCACTCTTATGCCTCATTGCTTATAATCACTTAAAATCCATTTTTATAGTTAAAACCAATAAGATAAGTTTATTATCTAATCCAGTGTGTTTTAAACCAAAGTATCTGGGTAACTCCATTTAAGCTGGCAAGTAGTTGTACGTTATTCCCGTAATGGACTTGTATACACCTCTACCTCGATATAAGGCTGTCCTCGGGAGCCAAAAAATCTTACCGCGTTATAGGTGAAACCGCGTTATATCCAACTTGCTTTGATCCACCAGAGTGCGCAGCCCTGCCCCCCTGGAGCATTGCTTTACCACGTTATATCTGAATTTGTGTTATATCGGGTCGCGTTATATCAGGGTAGAGGTGTATTTGTATTGTCCATGAGAGGGCTGGGCAGTACACTTCTAGGGGGAAATCCAGGACTGGGCATATGTTGGTCACCCTGTAGTATAACCAACGCAGTGTGTGACTGATAGGCTTCAGTTACACAAACACATCTGGGAGTGACCTGCTTGCTGGCAAGCTGTTCGTTAATGGTCCAGGTTGGGAGCTAGGACAGTAGGGTTTTGCAGGGCAAGGGTGACACAGCCCCCTGCTGGTCTGGATTGTCACACACACGTCACAGGTTCTGTTTCCTCTTCTACCTCCTGATAGAGGTAGAAGAGGAAAGTGGATGTCTAAGGGCTGGTCCCCACTTAGTCCGGACTTCGGACTAAGGTAAGCAAATTCAGCTACGTTAATAACGTAGCTGAATTCGAAGTACCTTAGTCCGGACTTACCGGGGTCCAGACACGGCCGGAAGTCTCCCCCCGTCGACGCTGCGTACTCCTCTCGGAGAGCTGGAGTACCGGCGCCGATTGTGGGCACTTCCGGGATCGATCACAGAACATCGATTGCGTGCCTCCGGACCAGCCGGTAAGTGAAGACTAGGCCTAAGTGATATACAGTTTGTCTTACAAAGGGTTTTCATTCTCTCACACACCCTTTCCCTAACTACTGTCATTGGGAGTTAACATCCCATTTGAGAATGCAGGAACTCTCACGTCTGTCTGTCTGCAAACTGGAAGATAATTTTGTATTGACTTACATTTAGATGTTTGGAAAGCTGTTTCACAATGATGAATACGAGGCATATGTATGTTTGTACGGTATGTAAGCTTAGAATCTGGAGCACAGTTCTATAGCAAGTGTTGGATTCCATGGCAATTGCCACACGTCAGGCCCTGAGTAAAGAAATGTATAAATACTAACTGCAGACTTCCAAAGCTGTACAACTTAGATACATGGCTCTTTTAAATCAGGCTGCTTATTGTCTTCCTAATACACTTGTTTGTTTATATTCCAGGAAGACCTTGAAGACCTTATGATAAACTGGGCTGAAAGCAAAAGTATTGGGGATGTCATTCTTAAATATGTAAGTTATTTTTACAGTGGCTGTAAGCTAGTTTTTACTAATGTAATCTAAAATGCATTGAGGAACACCACTAATCTTTTGGATGAAAACTGCTCTGTACGTATTTCTCATTAGTGTATCCAGGATAAATCCTCAGTTGTCAATTTAAATAATGACACAGTAAGGAAGCTCATGCAGTAACTCACTTCGAACTAAAGACTTTTTTTCTTGTATTGTAATGTTGGGCAGAGCTCCAAAAAGCTTTGTACGGACATTTATCCAAACTCTAGAAACCAGGTTTGAAATGTTTAAAGAGATTTTCCTGTAACCTCTGGTATTCCACTGCTGTTTGAATAAACTGGGAGCACCAAGAAAACAGCCTGTCAGTTTTGTAATTGTGTGGTTGTACTTTATTGCTTTCACTTCATTCCTAGTGAAAAGATGCCTGGGGGAGGGGAGAGGGTGGTTGAAGGAATAAATTTAAACCAACTCAGAAGGCTAGTTATTTTAGTCGGACCAGGATTTCCTATCCCGCGGTAATGAATATGCAAGAAGGTAGGGACGAATGTAGTTCTAGAGAAACCATAATAGAAATTCAGTTGTCCAGTGCTCTCCCTGACTATTGACAATCCTAGGCTTAATTTGCCCTACTGTGGCCATATTTTTCAACTGTCCCTTTCACACATCTTAGCCCTAGATAAAACTACAGGCAACCCTATGATTTCCTCTGTAGGATGAGGAAGAAAATCCGTGAAGGAAAAGGAGTTCTGTTTTCAAGCTTCAAGGAAGGTGTGGTCTAAACTGTGAGACCCTCAGAAGTCCAGAGTGGAAAATGGCTAAAGCTTTCAAAGCTTGCTGTTCAAAATTAGATTAATAAATGATCAGGGTTCTGCTCTAGAGTTGCTGAGCACCCACCACGAAATCCATTGATGTAGTGGTATTTTGGGGGAACATTGCACCTGAAAACAGGTCCTCCTTTGTTTAGGAGCCTAACATGGGGCAACTCACTTAACTTTGGCCCAAGTCCCTAACCATATGCTGTGTGCCCCGATGCAGATTACGATATCTTTAAGCATAAAAGATGTCTGCAGTCTATTTTGTGGCACATAAAATTGGCTTAATACAAACTTAAATTGCTTTGGTAGTATGCAGGATACATCTTAAAGCCATAACTAGCCATTACAGTCTTAAATTTGTTTTTCTTACTATTGTAATACAATGTACATAAAGACTGCTTGCTTGTTTACCTAAGGTCTACACTTAAAGCATTTTGAAATATTTTTTTTTCAGTCAAAAGACTTGTTGAAAACATACCCTCCTTTTGTGAACTTCTTTGAAATGAGCAAAGAAACTATTATGAAATGTGAAAAACAGAAGCCACGGTTTCATGCTTTTCTAAAGGTATTTATGCACTGAACTTAATTTTCAGCAACTTTTTTGAATATATTACTGAGATTCAAGTTCAATACCACTAAAAAATTCACTAACTCAGTAAATCTCCAGATTTCAGTTAGGGGAAGGAAAAATAC